GGACGTGGGCCATCTCACGGGGCAAGGCTCAGCTTAACTGGCGTTGGAGAAGCACGTTCAGTACCTCCAGGTGATAAGACGCCAAAATGCTTCCCCTCCCTTAGAGTTGGAAATGTCATTCTCTCTAAATTAAATCCCTGAAGCTACAGTTTAATTAAGCTCGTCTCCTTGCCCAGCGGTGGAAATCAGATGTGTTTTATCCTTCAGCTCGGCAGAGTGGAGAGAGCGCTGCATTCTGCAGACCTGGATTCTGCGCTTGACTTCTGTCATGGGGGTCTGTGTGACCTCTAGCTCACCCCTGACCTCTGCCCCCGCTCAGGCCCCTCACCCTGAGGAGAGGAGAGGGCTGCGTTCACTGCGGTCTGTCCCCCAGCTCTGACATCGCGAGGCCCCTCTGTGGCAGTCAGTCCTGCACAGGGCACCTGCACCGTCGTCTGTGATTTGCACGCACTTAGCTGAAGCTCAGCAAGGGCTGTGGCGCCGTGAGAAAGTGCAGGTGAAACCGGGCTCCGCCTAGTTACAGCCCACACACGGCCGAGTGGGCACAGGCTGCCAGAAGAGTGTCCTCCTTGGCCAGACACTTCCTTGAAGTCGTGGAGGTGTGTCCTAGGATCCCCATTAACTGCATCGTGCAACAAAGCAGTCACTAAATCATGAGAACCGTGTGAGACACGCGTGTCGACACACACGTCCACCTGTGTGTCCAGGCAGACAGGTGGCACATGCGGTGGAGGAGGGAGGTTCCTGGAGGGAGGAGGCCTCCGAGAGCGTGTGCAGGGCCCACCACCCTCTGCTGGGCTTCACCGGCCGTGCTGGGGCCCTGACTGGAATCAGCAGGGAGCGAGGGGCCCTCCCAGCTGCCCCGCCCTGCCACCCTCGGAGCGAGTAGCCGCCAAGCCCACACATGGCTAAAATCAGTCTGCTCCCCAACCCCTCGCAGAAGCTGAAGTTCCTCTCCTTAGAGGGAAAGGTCTCTTTGCACAGGCGCAGAACGGAACTGCGGTGCGCGCGCCTCGCCGTGCGCGCCCCCGGTGAGTGGGCTTCGCACTCCCGCGAAACTGCCACTGTTCTGCTGCAGCTGGCGTGGCAGGCCCAAACGGCACTCAGATGGCACCTCGTTGAATAGAAAAAGCATGCTTCCTCCTGACTGTTATTTGTGCAAGAGTTATAAGCCACGTTATTCTAACTGTCATTTTTCAGTGTCTTCTTTTGATGTTTAAGCAGGCGGAGTCTCTCCGGGTAACCGTGTCAGCTCTCTTTCCTGGGTTTCGGTAGACGGACACACCATGCTGTGAGCACCTCCCACGTGTCTAGGTGTTTACCATCTACCATGTGGATACTCGTCTCGTAGGAGCGGGCCTGTTTAGAAGTGCAGCAGATCTTTGGGGTCAAGACATGTAGTTTAATGAAGACATAAAAACCTCTTGGGACATGTATATGGGCACTTCAAAACACAGCGGCTGTTCTACTCTCATTCTGCTGCTTCTGAGAAGAAGCACACAAACGCTGAACTTGCAGTTGCTGTGGAGTCCCTCAGCATCGGTGTGGCTGGCCGTGGGGCCCAGCCCGGGGTGGGGACGGCGGTGCTCTCAGCAGGAGTCATGTTCCGTGTCTGCTTTCTGTCCTGTGCGTGGCTTTGTTTAAATCTGTGTGCAAACGAGGCCTGGTGCTAGAGGCCCAGCATGTCTGTTTTTTTCCGTGAACTCCTGGTCCACTCTGTGTTGCTGAGTTTTCCTGCCATGTCTTCATCATCGGCCATCTGCAGCCCACGTTCTGTCAGCCTTTCTGTTTTCACATTGCACGTTTCTTGAGTGGAATTCTCGCAAGCTGACTGGCACGTAAGAAAGAGTCTGGGTTTTTCAGTGAGGAGCACCTTTGACAGCTGTCCCGTGACGTGGCCTCGTGAAAGGAGGATGAAGACAGGGATTTCGGGTGCCGTGGGCACGCTTGCAGTCAGTGTTTCTGTTTGCTGCCCACGTTCACGGCACCAACTACAATCTCCTGACCTTTTAGAATAGTTAGCAGTGCCCGTGGCTCACGATGGGAAACCCAGACCGATCAGCCTGCCTGCCTAGTTTGTCCCCCACTCACCTGAGCTCTCAGGGTTTCACTGACGCACATTGGCTTGTTCCACACGGTCCTTTTGTGCATAAGCTTCTTCTTTTTTTTTTTTTTTTTTTTTTTTTGAGACAGAGCCTTGCTTTGTTGCCCATGCTAGAGTGAGTGCTGTGGCGTCAGCCTCACTCACAGCAACCTCTAACTCCCAGACTCTAGCGATCCTATTGCCTCAGCCTCCAGAGTAGCTGGGACTACAGGCATGGGCCACCACGCCCGGCTAATTTTTTCTATATATATTAGTTGGCCAATTAATTTCTTTCTATTTATAGTAGAGACTGGGTCTCGCTCTTGCTCAGGGCTGGCTTTGAACTCCTGATCTTGAGCAATCTGCCCGCCTCAGCCTCCGAGAGTGCTAGGATTACAGGCGTGAGCCGCCGCGCCTACCTGTGCATAAGCGTCTTATGTCGCCTTCCAATTGTGCCCAACAACAGTGATGGAAACGTATAGAGAATGGCGGATTCACCCACCTTGAATCCACCATTCTCTATACTTTTCCAGGTCTCCCTTAATTTACCTACCACATTTCTTACCCATGGTACGTAATATTATAACATCTCAGCTATCAATGGCATGTTTGGATCAGTAATTCTAAAATAAAGTGGGGACAGATTACGAGTTGAACATCGGTAAATCAGAAGAGTAAAGATGTCTCGGAGAGCCTGTGTGGGCCGCTCCCCTGGTCAGTGCTGGGACACGCAGTGCTCTCTCTCCGCTCTTGCAGGCCTCACTTGGCTGCCGTTATCCCCTTCTGCGGCATCTGGAACGCGCCCGTCAGGCGTGAGGGGACACCCTGGTGTCCTCGTTACCTGTAGCCAGACCCCTGCAGGTGAGGGCGGGGGTACTGGGCGCCTCTGCTGTACCTTGTGCAGCATGCGCCCCAGTTGTGAGCTGCCCACTCCCATCCCACCCACCTGCCCTGCTCCGCGAGGACAGAAGTACAAGCTGCTTTTGTGACTTTAGCCAAGCAAAGTCACCCCAGGGGATAAACAAAATCCCTTCCTCCACCGCAGCCCGTATTTCGCAGGTGAGCTGCACAAAGCCTCAGAATCCCCAGAGAAGGGGATGGGTATTTCAGAATGTCGCTTGACATTTAAACGTTTGCCTGGCTCTGGTCCCAGATATGAACAGTGGAGGGCATTTAGAGTACGATCGAGTCATAACTTTAAAAAGACCGGGACAGAAATATCACAGACAGGCAGTCTCTGAATCGGATAGCTGAGAAAAGCAACCTGGACCTCTGAGTGCAGCCCCCTCCCGCCCACCCAGAGGGAAGCCAATGTGTCAAAGAAGCAGTACCCTGGGGGCTTAAGAAGCTGTCAGGAGGGAGGTGCCAGGACCAGCTGCCGTGGCCGGCCTGGTGCTGTCGGGCTAGAGCTCCGGACGTCCTGCCTGCCCGTTGGCCCTTCAGTTCTGAGCGGACCAGAGCAGCCGGGCAGACGGTTCACTGTGAGGGTAATGTGGCGTCCACACCCCATCACGGTGTGGATTAAATCACTTCCTCCTGGCGTTGCCCTGTGGAGTAAGTTGGCTAATGGCATGTCTTAGGCCCAGATGGAAAGAACGAGAAGATAGAAGAAAAAGGGAGTGAGAAGGAGAAAGGAAATAAAGTCCTTTTGCTCGCTACAGCTCAGACCACAAGTCGTTATGACTGTGAGTGAGAGAGGAGAGAGGGGGAGAGTTTTTCAATGCCCTGAAAGCGTCAGAGTGTGCAGAGCTGCTCCTACCAGACCCCGTATCTGAGCCCTCTACAGGACACGGCACCCTGCGTCTCTGACGATGAGCTGGGGAGAGAGTTTTTTGTAACAAAAGGCAAAGGGCTCAAGGCAGAGATGGGCAGACAGCCCATCTCAACGTGGACGGCTCAAGTCCCAACGTGGACGGCTCCTGCAGCCCCAGGCGTGGATGGAAGAGGACAGGGACAGAGGAGCGTCTGGCTGACAGCGGGGAGGACCCCTCTCCCCCACAGGTGTCTGGGCCCCCACCGCGTCTCCGCTGAGAGCATCAGTAAACGCGCTGTCACGCGCAGTGTGTGAAACTCCAGATCCAGGGCAAGGACCCTCCCAGGTCCACGTTTTCCCGAGACACAGGGCGAGAGAAAGATGCCACGGGACTGAGCTTGCTTTTACCACTCAGTAGCCCTCAGGGTGTCTTGTTCTGCGGGAGTCCCCGTGTGAAACTTGCCGTAATGGTGCTGACACGGCGGCACGTTTAGGGGCTCGCTGACAAGTGCGGCGTACAGACACCCCGTCTGAAATGCGGTGTCTGAACAGAGAGCGTGCAGAGGTTTGGGATGTCCCTCTGTCGGGAATCCTAACAGTAAAGCGGGTTTGCACGAACACCCGGAGGACAGAGCACACTGGCACCGCATCTCTGTGCTCGTGAGGCTGTTGTCACATAGCAATGACGCATGCAGGAACTGAATTTGTAACTAAAACGCCCCAGCCATTTAATTTTCAAACGACAGTGCTTCAGACACGAGCAGCTCTGAAGTGGTTTTACATTTGAAAGGCGTGAGTCTTAACTTTTGCAATTGCCGCTCCTGCTCTGAACATTCGATTATTGATCGAACAAGGTTGTTACGATCCCAATAAAATAAAGTTTTAAGCCGACAATATACCGACTCCCCACACAGCTGTGCTCCATTTCGGGACTGCCTCGCCTGGGACGGAAATCTCCCCTCTTTGCGAGACACGTGGCGGGCGCTCCCGGAAGGCCGTGAGGGGCGGCATGCTGTCCTCAGCAGTCTGTGTGCCGGGACTCCGCTGTGTCTCTGTCTCCTTTTGCACAGTTGCAAAGCTGACGGGATGACGGTAACAAACACTGCCTTGTCTAGATGTCTGGTGACACGAAAGGCCATCTCGACTCTCTTTTTCTTCCCGCAGTGCCTTGTCTTTGAGGATGCTCCCAACGGCGTGGAGGCGGCCCTGGCAGCCGGGATGCAGGTGGTTATGGTTCCAGACAGACACCTGAGCCGGGACCTGACGGCAAAGGCCACGCTGGTGCTGGACTCCCTGCAGGACTTCCGGCCCGAGCTGTTCGGGCTGCCCCCCTACGAGTGAGGGAGGCCGTGTCCTGCGCTCCCAGCCCACGCCGGGGCCACGCGGCTGGGCAGGCGACAGCACCCAGACCACAACCTGCCTATTGATCCTGGCCTTCTGAAATTTGCCTTTTCTTCCTCTTGGCTTGGCCCAATCCGTAAAGTGTCGATTAAACATGGCTTGGCAGTTGAGAGAAAACAGAGTAGAGACAGCCTAGAACAAAGGTGAAACTTGAATTCCCATCTAAACAATCAAGCTGCTGTAGTATGGGATAAAGCAGATAGACATTCTTGTGCACGTATTACCAATGTGCTAACATGCATGTGGGCGTTATATATATGTGAAGGTATATATATGCATGCATGTATGTGTAAAATGTATACCTCTCCAAGACAAAATAAGTTATATTTGTGTTCATTTTATTTTAGTTTCTCTGAACACTTGACTGGGAAATGTAAACTATGTATACATATATGTATATGTTTTTGTGTATGTATGTGTGTACATATATGTTATCTTTTTATATATAGTACACTGTTTTATTCTCCTCTGTATTGATAATTAACATGCAGGAACAACTGACTAAGTGAGATGTTAATTCTGTCTGGTTTGTAATCTGAGTGGGAAAGCCATGTTTTTGATGGATATTAAGAAGTAATTCTCCTTATTAGCTACTATTAAAATTATTTTTGTGACCTCAACATATCTCTCTGGGTCTCTGCTCATTGACCAACTCTGAGCCAATGTTTTGTAGTTTGTCAACAGTTTGCTTTTGGTGGGACCATGCCCGTAGCATTTGTCCTGCATCTCCATCCACATCCACACTGGAGAATGTTTTCTGCCTCAGGAAAACCACTTCCTTTTTTGAAGAACGATTGATTTTCTACATTTCTTTGTTAGAAGTAGAACTGGATTTCAGAACTTATACCTGATGAGACCGAGAGCCGCAGCACACTTGGAATAATTGACCAGGCGTTACACGTTTGCGGTTAATCCCTTTTGCAGATTCACGCGGACTTTGGAATCTGCGATTTGGTAGGGGAAAATGGTGACAGCCATGGGAACGGGGTGAAGGGCGCTCGCTGCCTGGCACACCCTTCGCGGGGCCTCTGCCCTGTGTTCTCCTGCTCCTCCTCTCCACTCCGGAAGGGCAGACCAGCCTCGGGGGTGCGTGATCTTGTCTGGCACAGCGATCGCCTGTGGGTGGGTTTGCACCGCTCAGCAGGCCCTTTCCCTGTTCTAACGGCCGGTGTGCCTGTCTGCACCTCCACTTCTCCTCCAGACCCCTCGGGACACCTTACTGTTGCCCTCACAACTTAGTTTAATAAAATCTTCTGACGTAATTTCCATATTTGGATGACAGTCATGATTTTACCTTTTTCTAAAAAAAAAAAAAAATTCTCTAATAAATGTAAAACATAAATGTGACTGATTGACTTTTTTTTTGTTAACCTAAACAGTACTCGAACGGTAAGAGGAAATTTACATGTTTTATGGAACTATGGTGCCGTACAATGAATAAAGGCTTTCGATGAAAAGGTCGCTGGTTTGATCTGGGCTGTATCTTGTGCTTCCGCTGTATTTATGTTCGTGTTTTTCTAATCAGTGAGTCATTTTGCGTAGATAAGACAAAAGAGGTTTAATGTGGATCAACATGATGTAGATGTACATCACAGTATGTTCCTTACAGGGCAAACTTGACCTCAAGTCTGTTGCTGTTGTTTTAACCAAGGCAGCATCCGAGTTCTTATATTTTTGCACAGAGGAAAAATACCGAGGTTCGACCAAAGCACATACATTCTCTTTTATTCCTCCACATCAGCCGGATTGCTTCGATACGTTTTCGTGCTGTTGCTCTACTGTGTAACTCATTGCTTTTACAGAGAAATGACACTGGAAATTTATGCCAGAATGACACATGCCAAGGGAGTTTGAAGAGTAATTGTTATACTTTCTTAGCTCATTTACAGTGTGTTAGGGACATGCAGTGATTAGTAGACTATATACAGCTGTGCCCTAACTGGCCGCTAACATTTGCTTATGTGTTGTAGGCTCTTTAGGAGGAGAGTCTAGAAATGACGCCATCAGTCTCTTCTTAATTCCACCTACATGAAACATGCACGGCACTTCTAAGAACTTACTGATGACTACTTAATGAGAGTTTTTTTCCCCACCTAGTAAAGTCCTAGGATGGAGTTTGGTGATTTATATAAAAGATCTGGGAGACGCCTGTCTTACACTTGAAAGAATCAACTTCCCGCAGTGTAGGAATGATTTCGGGCAGGCAACAAACAGTACTCAGCGTATAGGTTCTGCACAGTTCGTATGTCTTTGAATACAGTGGACGGTGGGATGCTGAATTCGGCATGCGTTGAACGGTGTCTCTGAATTTTGAAAAAACGAATTTGCAATTATGGCAAGTTGTGTCCTGAAAAATAACGAGTTTTCACCTGTCTTGTCATGACTCTTCCGCTGAACACTGCTCTGCAGTCTACACTGCACTGCAGTCTACACTGCACTGCTCCATGGGGAGTGGTCTGAAACTGCCTGGTCTCACACAGAGGCTCTCTCACCTGAGCCCCACAGGGGCCGTCTCTAGAACTATCTTCTGCAGAGAGAAAATGAAGTGTTAAAGACCAAGGGATTATTATCGTTTCAAAGTCTGTAGCGTTCTTTTGTTGATTGAAGCTACTTGGTTTATAAAGGATACTGGGGAAGATATTTGTCGATTGAAGAGCTCACATTGGCTCTGAAAGCACACCTTCAGGATGTCTCAGAATATTCTGTTTCTCAATGAATCTCTTGAATAAAGCCTTGTACACAGAGCACTGGGTTTTTTTCTCCTTCATTAGCCGCAAAATATTTTCACGGGTTGTAACCGTTTTCATCGGAAAAACTGTTATCTAGATTGAATTAATTCAAGAAATACTGTTTGCCTATTATATGCCAGCCATTGTAAGCCTACAAAACTAAATAAGAACATAGCTCAGAGTGTTTGTCTCGTTAAACCTCAGTCACAGGATGTTTAAACTGGTTTCCAGATCTTTTTACAGCACCGTGGTTAGCATCGCGTCTGCGTGACAAAGGACAGAGAGAAATGTTGAAATCTGCAGTGGCGTCATCCTGTTGCCTGGTGTGATTTCATTGCTCCTCGAATTAACTACTTTGTGCATTTGGTGACCCACGCTGTTCTGGAAAGATTACATACTTGCCTCTCTTTCTTTGGTTCCCAGCAGTTCGGCAGGGGCCTGTCACGAAGTAGTTTTGAAACTATGAAATCATCACCTTCTAGTATAAATGCATTGCTTTTTCCTCATTGCAAATGCTCATAATTTCCAAGTTCTACATGGATTTTAACAACACGGCATAAGAAATGAACTTTTTTCTCATTAAAATGCTTCCAAATATTTACCACAATGTTAATAATGTATTTCTCTGAGGACGAAATGTATTTTGAAGACGCTTTAAGAATCCTAGTGTTCTCTGATGTCTGTGAGCGAGGAGGAAGCCTTGGGAAGGGAGCAGTCATAGACATGCACCGCTTATTTTAAAACCTTGTCCAAGACATGGAGAGTTCACATATTAATGCAAAGTCACTTAAAAGGTGCGTTTTCAGAATTCGCTTTAGGAAAGAATTGGCATGCACTCCATACTCAAAGTCAAAATAAATTGTGAGTAGATAGATATTTAACAATTATGATAAAGAATGCCTAATTCTTCATAAACCAAGAATCAGTACCATTCTTAGTGGTGGTCGCTCCATTCCTCTCTCCTTGGCTCATAGATAGCTGTCTTCTCCCTGTGTCCTCACGTGGTCGTCCCTGTGTGTGTGTGTGTGCCCTAATCTCCTCTTATAGGAACTCCAGTCCTATTGGATCAGGGCCCACCCTAGTGACCTCATTTTACTTTAATGACTTCTTTACAAGCCCTACCTCCAAATACAGTCACATGGGTGGGGTGAGTGGGAAGGGCTTCAATATACCAATTGGGGGGCAGGGGACGCAATTGAGTCCATAATACAAACAAAAAAGAATTCTTACTATCAATTAACTTTAATCATTCTTTCAGGAACTGCAGTCAATGAATAATGCCATTTAATGTTTACATATATGTGTCCGATTATGACAAATTTTCTCAGTTGTTTGTCTGACAATGTCTATTTGACTACTCCTTATTGAATTCCAGTCTGAGAACAATTTTTCCTCACCTTTTAAAGATATAGTTTCCTTGTTATCTGACTTTCATATTTTCAGTTGCAGAGCCAGGCTGTCGGTCTTACAGTTACACCTTTGAAAGTGTAACTTCTCTTCTGTCTCTTCTCTAGCTACCATCCAGCTGTTCTTTGGGTCTTTGGTCTGCTGAGGTGTGCCTTGCTTTGTTTTGATCTTGTTTAGACTTTGTGGATCCTCCTGGGTCTGTGGTTTGTTTTAGGTTTGACTAAACTTCTCAGCCATTATCTTTACGAATATTCCCTGGGTCATCTCTGGGGGCCACTTCCATACTATCATACCAAACGGAAGGAAGGTGAACTCGTAGCAGCCCATATAACCAGTAAGCCATGCCCAGGCATGGGCTGTGCCACCAATTGAGTGGACATAGGAACTGGGAAATTTGAATCAGATATGTGCACCTAAAGAGAGTTAGCTGTCTGGATTAGACCAGAAGCCAGCCACACTGATACTAAGCACCCCCCTTCCCTTCCGGGGATTAAGTATATCAGTAATCAGAAATGCAGAGAACGTAGAGAATCACAAACCAGGGGTCTGCCCAAGGCCCAGCACAGAGCACCAGCACAGCCTGTTTCCCTGAAGGGGAAACTGTTCCTTCATCTCTACTTGGGAGTGAATGTTCTTTGTCTGATACGAAGGCAGCACCAAGAACCGCTAAGCCCGCCATCCTGTGGAAAAGTGCTGACTTTGAGAAGAAAGGCAAGAAGACAGGACAGTTGCTGAAACACGGAAAATCTCATGGGGAACACTCTTAATTAGTATAAAGCATTCACATATGCTGATCGCTAGAAAATCACGGAATACTCTGAATTTCTGCAGAAGTGGGTTGTCTAGCGCTTGTCGCGTTCTGATCCCACGCTAGGTTCTTTCTGAACACACACTCCTGGGCCTTTGCTCTGCTCTTGTGCATGTCATCGCCCGCCTGGCAGTGGCTGAGAGTACCCTTGACATCCCCTCCGAGGAAACTGAGGCACGATTAATTAGGTCGTGCGATTTCCAAGGCCACTCGGGAGGTGGTGGAGCTGAGGGTGAAAGTTATCCACCTCCTGCTCCTGGAAACCTAATCACTCCCAACGTCATTCTCTCCAGCCACTGGGAAAGAAGTAATATTCTCGGTAATGAGAGTAGAGAACGATGTTTCTTGTTCCACTGACACATTCCTCATGTAGACCCAGGTCACGTGGGGCCTTCCCGGGAGCAGCGAGTCCGCACAGCGATTCAGCATCTACCCACGCTATTTAAGGCACCACACTGAACAAACTCCTGCTTTTGCTCTGCACTGTCACCTTTATCAAGAAGAATTTCTTCCTTAAACAAGTTTGAGATGCCCACTAATTGGGAAGCTATTAAGATCTTTGAATGCTTCTGCTTGTCTATGCGTGACACACCTCCCTCATGACCTTGGTCTTCTGTTTTTCTGAACCTGCTGCTGGAAACCACTGCAAAATGTCCTTCTTGGATACTCTTTCTTTGCAA